AGAGGGGGAACAGCCACCTGGACGGTGTCCCCCTTCTCCTTCCTCCCCGCCCCCATGACAGTGATGGCCTGCTCTACGCTGCTCTTTCCATGGCTTCCTGGCCCTTCCCCCTCCCTGAGGAGCTGAGGGGCCAGGGCTGCCCACTGGACCCCAGGAGCCTCCATCTGCCTGGTTGTCCCACCCCCTGACCAGCTCCTGGGAAGAACGAGGGCAGAACCCACTTCTCTGTCACCCACACAGTGCCCAGAGTAAGGAGCAGACCTCGCACCTGCGTGCCCTCAAAGTCCCCCAGGATCTGTGGAAGTGCAGCTTCTGGTGGCAGCGGGAGGGCCAGCCCCTTGCTGCCTTTCTGACCCAGGTGGCCTGCAGAGCCCAGGTCTGCCTGCCCCTGACCCCAGTGACACAGTCCCTTCCCAATGTCACTTAGCACTCACAGCCCTTTCTAAGGGAAAATGGGTTTTCCTTTACGAAGTACAGAGAAAACATAATGACGAGAGGCGTGGGGCTGGGTTCCTCTGGATCTAAACCCAGGAGGCACCATGTCACAAGTGTTATGACCTGGGGTCTCACCAAAACTCAGTTTTCTTGACCTAACAAAAGGACACTAACCCTGCCCCTGGGTCCTGCTGTGGGGTTGGCAGTTACAAGCCACCAAAAGCTGGTCCAGAGCAAACTGAGGCTCACCAGGGAGCCGGGGTGTTAGGAAGGCGCATGCATCACCGAAAACATGGTGCCCCTAGACCTGGGGAGAGGACGGCCAGGCCCTGGGATGAAGGAGAGGAGCAGGACTTGACCCACTGCAGCCGTCGCTCAGGCTGGCCTCTGAGGTCCTGCTGCATCGTGTGGGGAAAAGGAGCAGATCCGGATCCCAATGGTGAGAGCACAGGGCCCGGGCAGATGCATTTCCAAAAAGTCAACTGAGCCTGGTGCTTGGAGACAACTGTCCAGCCCAGTATTGAGGTCAGGCCAGACCTTCCCTCAGGTTGACTCCTTTCTCCCCCATGAAGGGAAGTGTGGCTCAAAGCACTTCAGCACTAAGGAAAGGACAACTGAGTCGAGACACCTCCACCAGGGCTGCTGGTGGGAAGGCCCCCGCAGGGGGGAGATGATGTCGCTCTTTCCATGGCTAGGGCACCGTGTGGGGCTCACTCGAATGCCACCAGGCCCGGTTACTCCACTCTTGGCACATTCTGAGCCAAAGGTCCTCTGTGGAGCCGGAAGGACAGTGGGTGGCTCCCACGAAGCGTCACCTCCCTGGCTCAGCCTTCTCTTACCACCTCCCTGATAACGTGGGAACGTGCTGGATCCATCAACTCCCTGAGGGAAGGAGCCACCTGAAACCCGGGAGTCCAGGTGTGAGCCTGGCGCCGGGTGCGTGCACCCAGCTGTGGCTGGAGAATGTGCCGTCTCACTTCAGGCCCACAGGCCCACGGCTCAGGGACGCTGGCCTGCCAGGGAGGGGGCCGGGGGCTGGAGCCAGGAGACCTCCCACTGTTTTCCCAAGGAGCCGCCCCGAGCATCGCGGAGGAGCAGATGCCCTCGCCTGGCCAGGAAAGCCCAGGGGAGGCTCGGAGCACGGCCCACGGCCTTTTGGGAAGCTAGAGGTGGTCTCTAGGAGGCAACCAAGTTCTCTGAGAGAAAGTCATTCCATGCTAACCTCATTTCCTGTTTTGACGAGCCTCCCCAGCACAGCCGAGTGGGGGAATGCCCCAGAAAGGGTGGCTTGCTTTCAGTAGAGCATTTGACAACCTCTCGTGTCCTGTATGTGTGTGGGTGCACACAATGGCCCCGATGATGGTGTGGCTAGGAGGGGTCACACGGGCAGGACAGCCATCCTCAGGGGTCAGCTGGTGGCATCAGATCCATCCTGCCACCCTTACTCCCACATCAGCCCTGGAGACGGCCCTGGTTGCTGGGGCCACCATGAGGTCTCAGCTGGTCAGACCAATAAGCAGTTGCTGTCCCCTGGAGGTGTGGTTTGACAGCACTCTCTGCTACTACTCTACGTGGGAAAAGGTTGAAGACCCCCAAGGGAAGGGTGTCATGCTGTCTGTGCCTGGTAGGAGGGAGGAATGAGTCTCGTGGAGACCCACAGGGCCCTGTCCTGGCTGCCATTTTTTAAATAACTTGCAGAAAGACACTGAAGGCATATTTACCAAATCTGTAGGTCCCTGGAGCCTCCGAGGAAGGAATGTCCCCAGAGAATCCCGCCTGGAGGATTAGGAACCTGGTATGCAACCCAATAGAACAAGTGCAGAGTGCTGTTTTCCTTCAGAAACACAACCCACTGTAAATTAAAAATTTTTTAAAAATCTGTGTAATCTGTACATTTGTTTTGAGTTACACAACCTAAGCTCACGTGTGCAGCCTGGGATCGGACAACCAAACCTGCTCCCTTCCATCCTACCACGGTGTCGAGCTCCTTCTCGGGGTGCTGGCCACCAAAGGCCCCTTTCCTGCTTGTCTTAGAGGCTTGTTATGAGGACCAAACAAGCCCAAGAGGGTGAGGTGCTCTCAAAAAGGGAAAGCTCTGAAATTCAAAATAGTATGACTCTTTTCGTCGTCCAGGTGCTTTCCCTCCAACAAAAAAAAAAAAAAGAAAAAGAAAATCTGACACTCTCTGAGTGATAAGCAGAAAATGATTCAGCTTTGACTTCTATTTCTTCACCTGTAACCCCAAACTGGTGGAGCTTGCTGAGCCACCTCCCTGAGCCCATCTCGAAACCATGACTCCTCTCCTGGGTGACACATCTAGTCCCTGGTTTTCCCAAAAGTTCTTCGGGTACTGTCCCAGATTCTTGGAATAGAGTCATCCCATAGCAGAAAAGCTCCCTTCCCAGGCTGGGTCTCCAAAGAGGCAGACACAGCAAACTGGCAGAGGGGACACAAAGGGTGTCGGGTCTGGGCCTTGCACCTGGGTCGAGATTGATTCTCAATTCTTTTCCTCGTACGGCTCAGTGCTTTGAAAGCATATTGGCCTTGCTGGTACACAGCCCCCGTGCAAAATATAGATGCAAAACACACTGTAGGCCCAGGAGAGGAGGGCAGGTCCCTCTGAAGTCAACAGAGCCACGCCACAGGCCTCCCACGTTCAGACGGCAGTAAGGTCTGGCGGCCCCCTCAGGCCACACGAACCCACGGAACTTTCTTTATTACTCTTTTCGTGATACATATGTTCTTTTCTGAGCTGTCCTACATGGCAGACCCAAGCCACATGTGGATATTTAAGTTTAAATTAAACCAAAATAAAAAAAAGGAAATAAAAGTTTAGCTCTTTGATCACGGGAGCCACGTTTTAAGTGTTCAAAGGACACCTGTGGCTAACGGCTACTGCACTGGACAGGGCAGCCTTGGGCCGGTGTTTCCAGCTATGCACCAAAATGGCCCGTGAAGTTGTTAAAAGGACTGAGATCTGACCCCATCCCCAATTCTGATGGGATTGGTCTAGGTGGGCCTGAGGGTCTAAAAATGTTTTTCTGTAAGTCCTGAGTAATTCTACTATCTGGCCAGGGGCAGAGTTACTGCCTAACCACCTAGAGTTGCATGGTCCACCCTCTTGCTTTTTCTCTTATCCTCCTATGAACTGATTGGCCTGTGAACACTCTGGGGGTTATTTGTGATTCTCCTCAAGCCTTTGACTTCCATATTTTTAAGGCCCAATGTAACCCTAGCAGGTAAGATTGGGAAAGGGCAAAGGATATTGTTGTGTTCTGCTCTGGAACATGGGAGAGGGGTGACCCCTTGGGAGAAAGTGTGCCTGTCAGGGGAGCCCCTTGTGTGTAAGTCCAGCTAGGCCTGGGTGACTCGGGGTCCATGACACTAATGTCACCCCTCTGCACTGTTCCCTCTCTAGTAGAATCCAGTCACATGAAACCAGTAGAGAAAAAAAAAAACCAAGAAGCTCCGACCAGTGGGATCTTAAGAGTCACTTTATCTGGCCTTCTTAATGTCCTGCTGAGAAGTAGCAGCTAGAGACACCCCACTGAGGACACGTCCCTCCACAACACAATTTTCCAGGAATATAAGCAAATAAACTTTTTTAAAAACATAGCTGAGCAACTTTGGGTTTCTGATGCGAATCGATTCGCAGGCCACCTTTCCTGTTGGGCAGTGTCATGGAGAGAGCCTGGCTGACACTGGCCAGTCCTGGCCACAGCGTCAACCAGCCTCAGAGATGGACTCGCAGTGCCCACCAAACCCTGGTCAGAAGGCCAGACGGCTCAGCGTGGCAGCCTTGCGGAGAAGTGACGAGCTGACCCACTCAGCATTGTTCTGGAACGTCTGCTAAGCTTATAGATGAAGAGACGGTCCTGGGAGGTGACAACAAGTGGCCTCTCTCGGCACATCCTCAGGGAAGTGGGTTGTCCTGCTCGTGGCCTGGGGCAGAGGAGGCTGGCCTGCCATCTTGTTTCTTTGAGGACTATTCAGGGGCCAGTTCCAGGCCTCAGATCTGAGGCATGGATCTGGGGAATCAGGGCATCTCAGTGAGCCAGGCCTGGTGATCTGTCCGGCGCTCCCTGAGCGAAACCCCTCAGGAGGTGAGCAGCGCTGGGAGGTGGGGGCAGAGCTGGCCACAACCTGGGCCTTGTCGGCAGCAATGGGCACACAGTAGGCCCCAGAGAAAACTTTAGGGAATGAATAAGCAAAGGGGTAGTGGATGTGGGGCAGGGAGGAGGACACAGACAAGGCCAAGATCCCCAGCTGAAAGGCTCCTGGTGATCTTGGGGTCACAGGTGCAAGCCAGAATCAGGGTGGGCGAGGCAAGAGATTTCCAGATGGATTCCAGGGTTCTTCTCAAAGGTCGACCTGGCCATGCTGACTCTAGAGAGACCTTCTAGAGATTTAAGAAGTAGGACAAGCATGGCTGAGTAATAGAGGTTCAAGCTCAACATCGTAAGGAACACGCGGTGGAGACGAGCGTCACCTGTGCCTTCGGGAAGCTCAGCGGACACGGGTCGGCCCCTTCAGCTGGGGTTTCCATACAGCGAATAAGCAAACAGTTTGGTTTTCTTTAGTTTTGCTTTAATGAAGGAGAGGGATTAAGACACAAGAGACTGGCCAGATAAATAAGACAACATCACGAGTGCACCATCCATGACCAAAAGATTGCAGAAACATCCCAGTGAACATGGAAATCCTGAGCGTCCACAGCAGTTAGAATCCGGTCCCAGGAGACCCCTTGTCCTGCCTTCCAGCCGGCAGCAGGCAGAGGCGCTGGGGGGCTGAGTCCTGGTTTTTCTGAGTCTGTGTCATTTTCGATCAAGTGTGTCATAGAGCTTCCTGTTCCGTCTCCCAGTTATTCTGAAACAAAAACATGCATGAAAAACACAGGTCACTGCCAACCACACTGAGAGACAGTCACTCCATGGAAACCAAAAGGAAGAGACTGTAAATGCCACGGTGAGCTGGGGAGTCAAATTGGTCAGCATCTATTCACACAGTGACAATGAGAGCTGCAGGTGGTGATGGAGACAGGCAGTGTCCACCTAAAAATAACTCAGAAGCCACCAGAAATGTCCCCAGAAGCTCACTGCTTAGCGCGGGACCATCCTGTCTGCTTATTGAAAAGCTGAGGCCAGGTCTGATTCTCCAGCTGCGTCTCACCCCCGGGGGACCCTGAGGCTCCTCTCCATTTGCCTGAAGAGTAGCATAGGACTTCAGAGACACCCAGGAGTTTGCCCGGGTGACACACTGAGCTCCCCTCCCCAGGGGCCCAGAGACACCCGAGAGGTCACATAGAACTCTCACTCAGTGTGTCACCTCTCCTCTTCCCACCTCAGGGGACGGGAGTCTCCCAGGAGCCTCAGCCAACACTCAGGAGCTACCTGGGCTTGAGCCAAGGAGCCCTGGTAAGGAGAGAAGGAAAGACGGAAACCCTCCTCCTCAGGAGGCTGCAGAGGCTGCAAGGACTGAGCTCCCCAAAGACTGTGGCTCTATTAATAACCGCCCCGCCACTTGCCGCCAGCACCGTCGGCCTCCTTGTTTGCAGAAGATCATTTTCAGATCTTTCAAATAAGTGAAAGGGTATTTCCAAAAGACAGAAGCAGGGCACATTCAGAAATGCAGATAGTGCCATGTCCCCAGGGTCCCCACAGTAGCCCCACAGGCCAGATCTGTGCTCAGACGCATTTCGGGAGAGCAGTTTTCCCAGGAGGGGACTGGCAACAGGGCTCCCCTGGGAGGGTGGCCAAGTCCACGCCAGCCCACTCTCTCCAGCAATGTTCTCTGGCCAGCGCTGTGGATGGCCAGAGAAGAGATGCGTGACTCTGAGCTTCCCTGGCTCCTCAGCTGTCCCCTCCCCCTGCAGCCTGCCCAAGGTGCCAGGAGGGTTCACTGTGAACGCCCGGGGACCGCCCCTCCCCCATTTCCTTCCATTAATGTCACAACATTTTCTGTAAAGTGGGAGGGAGGATGTGGGATTTTGGAAAAGCTCGGTCCTTCCCCTAGAGATTCATTCACAATGCGCCGCCTAGTACAAGGGACGTGAGAAGTTAGGAAATAAAGGAGGCGGCTCAGATCAGCGCATTGTGTGCTTTCCAAACATCTGGGGGAGGGCGGGCCAAGCCCTCCGTCGCACCAGGCCTTTGGCAGCAGGGCCGAGCTGTGTGGTGCAGAGGGCAGGGTGCACCCCCTCCCTGGAGAACCTCTCCCTGAGCTGCAGGCCGCGGAGAGCAAAGCAACACGCGGCTATTTGTGACAGTCTTTTATTTCTCAAAATTTCACGTAGTGTCCCCCAGTGTCGTGTACACATGAGTCAGTGGATCTGCACCAGTTCCTACAGGACTTATGGCCTCTAGTGGCCATGGGGAGAGCAGTCGGGGGCAGTTGAGGAGCCGGCCCTTCTGGAAGGAACACCCTAGATGACTCTGCAGGGAAACGGCCCCCTGTCCCATGACCTGAGAGCCTGTTTGCCCCCCCCCTCTCTGTGCTGGGGATCAAGCCCAGGGCCTCACACATGTCAGGCCAGCACTGTCTCAGGGGGCCGCACCCCCAGCCGGGTGAGCTAGCATTTCTAGTGGGGCTCACAGACTGGCATCCGGACCCAGGATTTTGTCAGCAGTGCCTTCCTGGGTGGGCAAAGAGAAACGGGAAGTAAGTGACGCACCAGTGGCCACATGGGTGGAAGGGGACCCTGGTCCCCCCCGTTCCACCACTGAGAGGGGAGGCTTCCCAGCCAGCCCTTGCAGCTGGGATCAGCATGAACTGCCGCAGCCCAGGCAGCTGGAGAGGGCACACCCCACCATGAGCACATGGATTAAAGTCACAGCGAGTGGCCATAGGCCCCAAGGTCCCCGGGTGACCCTCAGTTTTACAGGTGAAGAAAGCAAGGCCTGTAGATGGGAAAATAGGGAGCCTTCCCAGGTCATGCTGGAAGGGACACCTGGGCTTTTGCCAGCTAGTCCCCATGGGACAGCGGCCCAACCTGCCAAGAGTTGGAACCCAGCTCGCCATGCGAGGCCTGCTCTCCCTTGTCTGGAGATTTTGCATGAATTGATGAAATTCCCGGGGACTCCACGAGGGCTCCACCTGTCACTGAAGGAGCCAGGAGGACCCAGGGGGGACTACTTCCGGTTTGCCCCAATTCCAAGGAAATCGCTCACATGGATTCCACCTGCCACTATGCACTGGGGTGGGTGGAGACCTCCAGCACCTCCCAGAGTTGGGACAGGCCCCAAGGGTTCTGGTTACACATACCTAAGGCCGGCCACCCTCCCTCCCAGCTTGGCTCAGTGCTCTGTTCCTGCAGGTCTCTGGTGCTCAGGTCCCCCATTTAGCGCCCCCCATGGCAGGTGCAGAAGCCACTTGCCCACAGACCTGAGGGAAGCCTGGGGGCCACACACCACGCTAAATATGAGCCCTTGTCAGGGGCCGGAAACGCAGCCCAGGCCAGCTCTGCATGCTCCGAGCCAGCTCCTCAATGTGCTCTTTCTGCTCCTGTCAGCAACCAGAGGAAAGGTCCTGGCATGGAAGTCCAAGGAGGGACGAGCGACGGGAGCCCAGATGCCCACCCCAACTCCCCCTCACACCAGAGGGCAGGGTCTTGGTCCCTGGAGTTGACCCCTCCATGCCTCTACTTCCAGGAAGTACCTGGGGAAGTGAAAACCAGTTCCTCACCTGTGAGAGGCCAATCCAGAGCCCCCAGGCCCCCCACCCCAGCAAAGGACACACCTGAGCTCGTCCTACCCCCCTTGCCACCAAGGGCCTCAGCAATTCATAGGAAAATGGCCATCGAGGCCTCCCGGGCTGTTCGGGGCAGGGCTGCAGGTCAGCTTGTTGAGATTTCAAGCAGTCGGGGGGAGGGGAGGGCCTGCTCAGTGAGACCAAGGTGTGTGGATCTCAGGCCCCTGTTTTTATTTCTCAGAACAAGGTCGTTGATCATCATGGACTCTCTTTAGGGACAAGATGGCTCTTTGGGCAAGTGACTAGGGTTTTGAGCTGCTGGAGATGTCAGGGCCAGCAAGCAAGCCACCAGCATTGCCCATATCCCTGATGGGGATCCTGTGTCCAGAGCAACATCCACATGGCTCCAAGCGGATTCAGAGCCATTTGGAGGGATCTGACCTGAGAAGCAATTTCTCCAAAGTGTCCCCCATCATGACATACCTACGCATTGCTCCGAAACAGACTGTGTCCTCGTGGAGGGACTTCCAGGCCCCTGGCAGCAGAGCGTGCTTCAACCCAGGGCTGCCCCGACACACCCCGTGCCCTTGGCCACCACACACTGAGCACCTCCCACCTCCCGGAGTCTTCTCTCAGGAGGGGGCTGTCAGGATTATCCTGAGGCACAAGGAGTCCCACAGCCAGCAGGTCAAGGGTGACACACATCTTGCAATCCAGCATCCTGGTCACCAAGTCCTGCAGCCACCTGGGGTGATCAAGAGCTCACAGAGGACGCCACAGCTGGCCCCCAAGGACCATGCAGAAGACCTTGGAACAGAGAGATACTCTAACAGGTCCCTCAGTTTATACCCAAGGTAGAAATGGATGGAGGTCACGACCCAAGGGCCTCCCTCACTAGGTTATTTTCTGGTCTAGTCCTGAAGAGGACCCTCACTTTGGCCACTGTATTGGCTCCATAAAACCCATTTTTCAAAGAGCTAAATGTCATAGACATTTCAGCAGATATAGTGTGGTTGACATAGCAAAAGGCCAAAATTACAGATGACCTTGCTGAACAGTTACTAAGAAATGCAAAGGGCCTCTGGAAGGCTGGCCTTACCCCCAAGGTTGTGTGAGGACACAGGAGGGATCCACCCCTTGGGGAGAATGTGGACGACACACAGACTCCGTGGGGCCTCCCCATCACCCGGGGCTCAGTGCCACCTAGCACATAGGTGCCTGCGCGTGTGAGCAGTGCAGATTCTCAGGCTTCTCTGAGTCTTCTCATTGGAAATGGAGGGGGTGGGGTCCAAAGGTGCATGTTTCCACTTCCCCAGGTGAGTCAGACAGAGGCAAGCACTACGAGTGGGAGGTCACCATTGTAGCCACTGTCCCTAGGCTCAGTCCCTACTGACCACAGTGACTGCACCTGCTTAGGTTCCTGGTAAGCAAAACTTAACTGGACGGCTCTCTCCAGAGTCCCCAGAGTGGGAGGGGAGATCCAGCAGCAGCTTGAAGCCTCCAGGACTTTGAATGAGTCTTGGGGTGGCCTAGGGTGATAACCTCCTTTCTGGATACTGAGCCCCAGGGGGTGGCAAACCTGCTCCCTAGTGCCCCCCCAGATCAAAGGTCCCTCCAGCCTCACAAGGCTCACCCAGCCCCAGACTGCTTCACCCCCTCAGCTCATGAGGCCATGAGAACACCTGAGCCCCGATGATGTCCACTGGCATCATGTGAGGGTAGGATCTTGCTGCCATGGGGGAGGGGGGTGCAAAGCCCACAGCCCCTGAGCTCCGCACACACAGCACCCGTATGCAGAGGGAGGACACCCACAAAATGCTCCTAAGAGCACAGGCAGCAACTGGGCCAAAAAAAAAAAAAAGTTGAAAAAAACATAGTTTGTTTATCATTTTAAAAAGCTAACCTCATACAGGAAGTATGAGAAAAAGAAGAAAGAAGAAGAGAAAAAAAAAAAAAAAAACACCCGCGACACACTGACAGGGCACACTCCTGTCACGGATGACATGAGCCTTCCTCAGTTTCCACGCTCACCTTGGCAAAGGCAGGAACAGCCCCACAGGCAGGGGACCCAGTGCACGGAGCACAGGCTTGCCTGACACAGGGAGGCACCCCGGCCGGGCCTGCAGGTGTGGCTGCCCAGTTGGGTGGACATCTAAAACAGAAACTGCCTTCCTGGACCT